TTACCGCAAGAGAAATTACTTGCCCTTAAGCAATTAGTACAGGAACAACTAGATGCTGGACATGTTGAACCCTCTCTCAGCCCTCACAATACACCAGTCTTTGTCATACAAAAGAAGGATAAAGTAAAATGGAGATTTCTACAGGACCTCAGAGCTGTAAATAGACACATGAAAAAACTAGGCCCTCTACAACCGGGACTGCCTCACCCCTCGGCTATCACAAGGGGAGCACATATAAAAATCATAGATATTAAAGACTGCTTTTTCTCTATCCCGTTGCACCCGGAGGACAGGCCCTACTTTGCCTTTTCAGTGCCCTCTACCAACCATCAACTACCGGCAGATAGATACCAATGGAAGGTACTCCCCCAGGGCATGAAGGACAGCCCTACCATGTGCCAGGCTTACCTTGGAGTGACAACCAAACCTCTAGCCAAACAATGCTTTATCACTCATTACATGGATGATATCCTTATTGCCCATAGGGACCCTATATAGCTAGAGCAGGGGTGGGCAAACTTTTTGACTCGACGGCCACAATGGGTTCTTAAACTGAACCGGAGGGCCGGAACAAAAGCATGGATGGAGTGTTTGTGTGAACTAATATACATTCAAAGTAAACATCATTACATAAAAGGGTACGGTCTTTTTTTTTTTTAGTTTTATTCATTTCAAACGGGCCGGATCTGGCCCGCGGGCCGTAGTTTGCCCACGGCTGGGCTAGAGGCATGCTACCAAACACTTATTAGCAACCTACGAGCTCTTAACCTCTATATAGCTCCCGAAAAGGTCCAGACCATTCTTCCATACTCCTTTTTAGGATATAAAATACATGCACAAATAGTACCCATAGCTCCTCAGCTTACAATTCCTGATACCATCTCCCTACATGCGCTACAGGAACTATGTGGCCAGATTAATTGGGTTAGGAACAGCTTATCAATCTCCACCAGGGCCCTAGGCCCCCTCTTCCAATTGCTTGAAGGAGACACAGACCCCCTTAGTACCCGCTCTCTAACCCTCAAGGCCAAAGAGGTCTTAAAAGCTGTCAACCAAGCTCTAAGGGAGCTAGAGCTACACAGAATAGACTTGACCCAGCCAATCCAAGCGATAGTACTGGCCACCATTGGGACTCCTACAGGAGTACTATTTCAGGAGGGTCCTCTTTATTGGGTACACTTGGCCTACAGCCAGCTTGCTAAAGTAACGCCCCCAACAGCGGCCTACACCCTCATAGGACGGAAGCTCAGGCAGGCTTCGCTTACCCTATATGGAAAAGAACCTGACACTCTCATACTTTTTTATATGCAGGAACAAATCTCTCATCTATTAACCACAGATCTAGAAACACAGTTACTTCTCCTAAACTACCCAGGGCAGGTAGATAATCACCTACCCAATCATAGGCTCCTCCAAACCCTCCAAAAGGTACCGTTAGAGACACTAGGTCTGGTACGCCCCTCTAGTAAACCTATCCCTGGGGCACCCTGTGCCTTCACTTACGCAGGGAAGCATTACTGTGCAGCAATAATAAAGTCCCCTAAAACTTCCACCAACCCCACTTATCTTAGATATACTTATCAAGGCTCAGCACAAGTAGGAGAACTCAGAGCTATAATATACGCCCTTCTCTACTGTCAAAATAGTCCAGTCAATTTATTCTCAGATAGTGCTTACGCGGTGCATATGGCAAAAAATATAGGGTATTCCACCTTAAGAGTTAAAGATACCCCGCTAGATCAGAGCCTCCAACTCCTAAAGGACATCCTAGAGAACTGTAAACAGCCCTGGTATATCCAACACTTACGGTCTCATACTGGCCTACCAGGCCCACTTTCCCTAGGCAACGCAGAAGCGGACAAGCTAGTTCTTACCCTACAACCCATAGAAGAGGCCAGACTCCTACACACCAAATTTCATATGTCAGCCTCCTCTCTCCATAAGCTCTTCCCCCATCTGCCCCTAGCTCAGTGCAAGCACCTCATACGTGCTTGCTGATCCTGCAGCCCTCTACTACCCCTCGGCCTTTACAACCCAGAGGGGCCAATCCCCGAGGACTACAGCCCAATGCCATATGGCAAGCGGATGTCACGCATGTCCCAGCATTTGGCAAATTGAAATATGTCCACACAGTCATAGATATTTGCTCAGGAGCCACGTTCGCCTAGGCCCAAACGGGGGGAAAAGCCAAACATAGCATTGCCACCTTCAAGGCTTCCTTTCTCATCCTTGGATTCCTGTGGGAGGTAAAAACTGACAATGGACCATGCTACACCAGCACTCTATTTCAAGACTTCTTAAAATCACACGACATCAAGCATACCATGGGCAGCCCCTATAACCCCCAGGGACAGGCAATTATTGAAAGACTACACAGGGAACTCAAGGCCCAACTGATTAAAGAAAAAGGGGGAGTGATAGGGAGAAATCCTCATACACTGCTAACCCAAGCCTTAACTACCCTCAATTATTTTCATTTTGATGAGCATGGATTAACCCCTATGTATAAACATTGGGGAGGACTCCGGGACATACCAACACCTCTTCCTTTGGTCTGGTGGAGAGACCCACTCACCGGAGCCTGGAAAGACCCCGATCTGCTCTTAACCCAGGGGAGAGGGTTTGCTTGTATTTTTCCAGAAGGCGACAAAAGTCCCGCGTGGATTCCTGCTCTTGACGTCAAACCCTACACCACCAGCGATGAGCCATAGATCGCCACCATCGCCCCCCATAGAGGAAATGGAGGACCTGACCATAGAAGAGAACCAGCCCGATGGCGGAGACGACCTAGACACCAATGAGCCCACCCCATCATCTGTGGTGACATCAAGGCTCTACAAGACCAAGCCGCGCGCATGGCGCCAGAGGGGAACCCATCGGCAGGAACGTTATTCTTATTAATGTGTGCTATCATCACAGCTAATAGCACGGGGGCCCACAGATAAGAACTGTGGACTGTGATACCTCACCCTGGCGTTCTCATGCCAGTTGGTGTAGACAGTACCCAGTTTCCAGTGGCACGTGCCTCTGCTACTCCTTTTACCCATCTATAAGGCCACCCTTCTATCTCCTTCTGAGTAGTGACAACTCCTTTGCTTTGGCGCTAATTAGAAAGGAAGGGGAAGATGTACGTAGAGCTCGGGAAGTATGTCTCAGCGCTGCGGCTGATGCAATGGTGTGAGCACACTCCACCATGACATGCTTCCTCCGCACACCAGGAAGTAGCAACGCCCGCCTGAACGAACTCCTAGAGCCACGTGCACAGTACCCCAGCCTTTCAGCCATTGGTCGCCTGTAGCAACGTGTCTCCCTCTGATTGGTCCCCTCGTGCTATATATACCCCTGTAGTTCCACAATAAAACGGATCTGCATCACTGAACCTGGTCTCTGGAGTCGTGCATGCAGACGCCATAGCGCGTTGGGGCTCCGTCGTCCTCACCCCCGAGGTACCCCCTGCTTCAATAGAATAGTTCCACTTATAAAATGTTTTATACATCAGATAGCTCTTAATTTGACCAGGCTGTCCATTAATTCATCTCTGAAAAAATTAACTGGCATTTAATTTCAGCTACTATACAGCATTAAAAAGCTTAGGCATTCGGTAGCTTCTCATAATGTTGTTCTATGCACAATGACATCTAGCAGACAGTCCATCATCTCGCCCAGATTCACACAGACGGGTCTCATTGGAGAATGATAAGCTAAATAGCTGGTACTTGTGACAAAATTACGCCTAACCTCAGTGTCTTAACCACAAATACAGACTTCTTACTCTGCGAGCCTGTCTTCTGGGCCACCTTTATAGTGCCAACGAAGACACGCCAGCAATAGCCCCGTGTGTAACTCGGCATTAGAGCACCAGGTCTGTCTGGTGGTGATGGCAGGCACTGTTATTATATCCAGGTAAATATAGACCCATTTTTAAAATGCCAATTTGATATACAAAATTAAAGGTACAACATACTCAGAACTAAGTTTGAGCAATCTGGTACTCCAAATGATTTGAAAATTTTCAGAAACTGATAACAAACTGTACTCATGATGTTTCCCAGCTATGGAGACATTAATACACTGATTCAAACCCCTTTACTCAGTCCACATAGCCCTGAGATCATCCTACAAAGTGCGTATAAAATATGGAGTTGACAAAGTTTGACAATACGTTATACAAGTCAAACTTGAAATCTGTTCTGAGAGAAAAGCATCAAATCCTTTGTGTACACATTTCGTTTTATTGTAACAAAGCAACTTGTACACTTTTAATGTTTAAAACTGAGCATTATTTTTCCTTTCCAGTGAAACAAAAGAAAATTTAAAATAACAGAACAAAATTACAATAGAGAATGTCAATTCTGAATAAGATCCTACAGGTTCTGCTGATTCTCCCATTGAGTGGCAGGGCTCAAGTCATCATTAGGAGAGAATTTTATTTTAAAAGTGTCATCTTAGACTGCAAGGATGTCCGTTAAACATCACAATTAAACATGCCAAAGGAGAAGCCATGTTGTCAAAATGCCCACTTAGCCCACCCAAACATCTCAAACCCACCCTTTGCTGACCTTCTATAACCCCCCTTTTTTAAGTTTTCTTTTTCTTTTTTTAAACAAGAGAAAGTAGACAGATACATGTTGGTAAATGCTAACTGTCCATATTCACATAGAGACACAGTGTAATCTCTGAGCCCAATATACAGAGAAAGGAGGAAAAAAGCTAGAATTCTATGCACTACTACACAGGGGCCTGGCCACCTCCAGCTCCCAGCAGAGCTAAGGGAGCAGAAGGTTTTTCTTTTTTCCCACAGAGCACTGTGGTGTTGATTCCATTAAGTTTTTCTTGAGACAGGAAGGCATAAAAATGAATTTGGAACAAAAAGGGGCAAAGATTCTTTTCCCACTGTATTCTGCTCAAAGTACATCCTCCCCACATAAGGTGAGAACCATGGTGTAAAGGGGAGAAAAGAGTCCTCAAAAAGAGGGCGACTGAGCACAAAGGGGGGGGGAGAAAAAGAAAAAAAAAAGACTGCAACTTGCTCCCAGGGACTGGAGAAAATTAAAAAAGGTTGGAATCCATCAGTGTTCGTTAGTTATCTTCTCCTTCATCTTCCTCTCCTTCTTCCCCCTCATCATCATCTTCATCTTCTTCACCTTCATCCTCATCCCCTTCTTCATCAATATCTTCCAACCCTTCTCCTCCTCCTCCTCCTCCTCCTTCTTCTTCTTCTTCTTCTTCTTCTTCTTCTTCTTCTTCTTCTTCTTCTTCTTCTTCTTCCTTCTCCTTCTCCTTCTCCTTCTTCTCCTCCTCCTCCTTCTCCTCCTCCTCCTCCTCCTTCTCCTTCCCCTTCTTCATCATCCATGTCAGGAACCAAGTAGTACTGTAATGGATTTGGCCAAATGTCATCTTTGATGACTTCTCCCAACTCATCTGCACCTGCATCAGAATGGTCAGTGAACCAGGTAAAGACGCTTTCCGGTTCCTCATGCTGTCTCTTCCTGCTGGCTTTATTCTGTGTTTGACTTGAACGTTTCGTCAAATCCTTTCTAGATTTCCATTTGATTTCAGTGGACTTTGAAGATGGATCACCACTCTCATTCAGATGAAACTCTTTGGAGAGAACTTTATTTTCGAAGTAAGGATTTTCATCAACATAAAAATCTATTCTGTAACCTGATTTAATATCTTCAAATTATGTCACTTCAACTCTTGTCAAATAATGCAGTGCCTCTTCATCCTCTTCCCCAAGCAGTGCAGACACTTGTGGATGGTTGACAAATGTTGTTACCCCAAAATTTGGGATTTTGGCGATCAATTCTGACCTCTTCTGAAAAAATGGTTGGCGGAGTTTGTTATATTTCTGTTCTACTTTCAAAATCTCCTCACTGGCTTGTTCATTAAGAATGTCTATTTCATTTTGTACTTCATCAATATGTTCAATCGCTTCTTGCTGTTCTTTTTCTCCCTTTGGCACATCCTGAGGGGTCAGCTTCTTCTCCGGCTTGGGGGCTGGAGGCACTTTCGGTTTCTTCATTTGGGGTGGGAGCGAGGACTGGCGTTTGGGGGCCATGCCTCGCGGGAAGTCCGAGGAGCCGATCGCAGGGAAGTGGCCGGGCTGGAAGGAAGGCGCGCTGAGACTCTATTTTCATTTCTTTACATTCAATATTATTTTGTATTAGTTTCAGGTTTTATATTAGTTACAAAATAATGGTTAGACAATCATATACTTTACAAAGTGTTCCCTGATATTTCCAGTACCCACCTGGCATCATACTATCATTACAACACTATTGACTATATTCCCTATTTAAGTGACAATAGGTTTACAGGTTCCTTCCAATCTTCCTTTTGTGTTACTCGCCCTTCCTTTTCTTTCTCACTTCTCTCTCTCTCTCTCTCTCTCTCTCTCTCTCTCTCTCTCTCTGTCTCTCTCTCTCTCTTTTAAGAGAAGTAAGCCTTTATTTCCTTGTTTCTCAAATAGAGCTGGCTGAGCTGGTTGCTTTTTGGTAATTAATCAGAGACCAAATCCCATATCCTCGTCCAACTCCTCCAACTCTTCCTTTGCTTCAACCTTGGCTGGGGTTGCAGCAGTAACAGCAGTGGTGGCGGCGGCCACAGGGGCAGCAGCCACAAAAGCAAATGGATCAGCCAAGAAGGCCTTGACCTTTTCAGCAAGTGGGAAGGTGTAAACAGTCTCTAAAGACAAAGCCAGAACTCACTTGTACCCATTGATGATAGAATGTGGTACTGACGCAACAGTTGGGTAACCAATCTGAAGGCATACGCTGGCAACATTGCGGACACCCTCTAGGAAGCGGGAATGCAGTTTCCTCTGTGATGTCAAGCACTTCTGGGTTGTAGATGCCACCATTGTCAAACACCTGCTGGATGATCAGCCCAAAGGAGAAGGGGGCGATGTTCAGCATGTTCAGCAGTGTGGCTTCGCTGGCTCCCACTTTGTCTCCAGTCTTAATCAGCTGTGCATCACTCAGGATTTCAGTGGTGCCCCTGGAGATTTTAGTGGTGATGCCTAAAGCCTGGAAGAAGGGGGTCTTCTGTGGCCCCAGACCAGTGTTCTGGGCTGGCACAGTGACTTCACACAGGGCAATGGCACCAGCATGGGCAGCAGCTGGCACCTTATTGGCCAGCTGCATGTCCCTGATCTCAGTGAGGTCCTCCTTGGTGAACACAAAGCCCACATTCTCCCAGATACGAGGCAGCATTTTCTCCAGAGCTGGGTTGTTTTCCAGATGTCCTCCGATGGCCTTGCACATCATGGTGTTTTTGCTCATCAACAACACAGCTTTCCCACTGAGGGACATGTGGATCTACTGCATCTGCTTGGAGCCCACATTGTCTGCTCCCAAAATGAAGCATTTTGGATAATCATCCAGAAGTTGGATAATCTTAAGGAAGTAGTTGGACTTCCAAGTCTCCCTGTCTTCCCTGGGCATCACCGCGGTGCATCAGGGATTACCAGGCAGGGTTTAAAGACCATGTCACTCCCACGAGGATGCCTGGCGAGAGGAAGTCCTCATTTTCTTTATATAGTATCTCAATTGGCCCTCAAAGCTCAGCGAAGGCACTAGGACACACTTAATCCATTTTACAGACCAGGAAACTGAGGCCAATTCCAGTTGGCTGCGGAACTTGACTCAGGGCACAGGGAGCCTTCACAGCCATGCTCTCTGCCCTTCCTAAGGGGCAGCCACGGGGCAAACAGAACAAACCTCCCCGACAGGCTTCCGAGCTTCATTCTCAAGCACCTCTTCATCAGGGATGCTCCACATTCTTTCCTCTCCCCCGCCCCCCTTCCCCCATTCTTTACTGCCCCCCCTTCTCCAGAGCAGGTGGTAAGCTTCGCACTCACCACGCAGGCGAGCGCCCCTGCAGTGGGGCAAAGCAAGCGCGGGCTTGCTTTTGGGCCAAGGTGGGAGCAGGAGTCGGTGAGGCCCTGGTGAGGCCGGGTCAGCGCCAGGAGCTTCTCCTAATAGCAGCAGTCGGGTACCCAGCAGTGTGGCGCCCCTCCACTGAGGTGGCACTGCCCCTCAACCCCTGCCTCAAGGCTGCGGGTCTGCCCGGTGTCCTTCCACCTTGTTCCTCACTGTGCCCACATGCATCTTGGGGCCACTGCAGAACCTCACTCTCCGCAGGAGAGGCAGATCCTTGCCCGCTGGTCCCCTGGCCGGGCCAAGCCCCCTCTGGTACACCCCGCCTCAGTGCAGCTCTGTGCCCCTTGGGCTGCCCGCCTCCTGGCCAGCAGCTTCGCCGAAGCCATGGTGCTTGCCCCAGAGCCACTCAGGCAGCCCTGCAGCCAGGCCTCTCACAGCTGCTAGGTCTCCACCCTCACCTGGGTTACCTCCTTTCTTCCACATTCACCCTTCATCCATCCCTCTCTCCTGCAGTGCTTGTGCTCCAGGCCTGAAAGAAAAGGACCAAGGCCAAGAAGGACAAAGCCCAAAGGAAGTGAGTCTTGAACCCCCACATCCCATTCTCTGGATTTCCTCCCGCACCTTTTCTCTGTTTCACATCTTGAACAAGCACCAAGTTCGGGCACCCTGCGACCCAGCCACATGGCCTCTGGGTGGCCTGGTAGAGTCAGTCTCCTAAGCTGTGGATCTGTGGCCAGAGGCCCTGCCTGGGTCTCAGCGACCACATGCCTGCTGGAGAGGGCTGTTGGAGGAGGACCAGAGCCCGTCCATCATTAGCTCCCCATCTCCAGAGGAGGCACCACAGGCTCCTGTCCCCTCCCCCCCACACACACACTGCGACCCCACCCCCAGCTGCTGTGGCCCCACCCCCATCCCTGCCGCCTGCTAAGTGGTTGTGACCTTTACGGAGACCCAGTTAATTAGCATATTACTCTATTATATAGATAAATTAACCTGAATAACTAAAGATTAGCTGAATAGAAGTCTTATAACCAATGATTTACAGAAAAAGCCACATTGAGACTTGTAGGAAGGGTGGACACATGAAAAGGGCTTCCCCACTTCCATAGACAGCAGCTGATGATCTGGAGGGATATTTCAGCTGCAAAGGTTCCCCCTTAGGAGCAAGGAGATCTTAACCTTATGCCAAACTCCCCAGCCGAGAGAAGCAGAAAGAAGAGGAGCTCACATAACATCTGATTGTAATAAATCAGCGGAAGTCTGTCTGCCAGGGAGAGACAAAATTCTGCTAGAAACCCAGGTGCCCTCTTAAAGGGCCAGAACACAAAATCTTGCTTGCATCCACTCCCCTTGGGCTCAGGCAGAGGTGAGTACCTGCAAAGTGAACTGCTGTCATGTGAGGACAGACTGGGTTGTGTGGCTCTGGGGAAAGAGCTGAACATACAGCCACCAGGGTCCCTGTGATAAATTGCTCTCTCACACTGCCCACCTACTCCATCTTTCCTGGATGCAGCACTCCTGTCTATACCAGCTGCCCTGCTGAGCTCATGTCCTGTGCAAGAGTCTTCTGCCTGAGCCAGTGGTACAGATTTTTTAAAGGCTCTTGAGGGCAAACTGAGGGTGTGGGAGTGTCAAAAACTGAATTTTGTGGCTTTGGGGCAGAGCCACTTGCACTTTCCCTGCTGCACAATAGAGCAGCAACATCCATGAGCATGTACCAGAGCAGTAGCACCCCACATCCTGCATACTAGAGCCACCATCCATGGGAGATCAATTAGCCCCACCTCCAGAGATTTCCTAGCTCCACCCTCCTGTCCTTGGTGATATTTAGAATGTTTTAAATAATAAAGCATAACTAAACTTATATAAAGAAATAGCCACATCACATGTGGCTATTTCTATAAACTTATATCTCAGTCTCCCTCAACCTGGCTAACACTGTTTGCCTTGTCCTGATGATTCCTAGAGACCTTTTTCCACCCAACTTTCAGCCCCTCCCAAGATGCTTCTAGTGTTTTTCTATACAAATGGCTTTTCTTAGTTCATACTGCAGACTGTCCTAAAATCTTTAATGCTTCACAAACTCTAAACAAGCAGCATCTGGCCTTGGTATGCTACATGTCTCTTACTAAATGGCCTGGACTCCAGCACTATTGGAATCTGGTCTCAGTTTGTAGTTTAGTCTCTCTCAGGCACCTCTAAATCCAGCACAACTGGCATGATCTGTAGATCACTATGTAGTTCATACCAAATGGCTCCAGGCATGGTATAGGCAGCAGCTGATATTGGCCTGCACCTCCCAAAAGACCTCAGAAACAACACATCTGGTGGCAAGCTTCAGACCATACCAGACCACCACTTAAATACCTCCACTAATGACACTCAAAAGCCCTCCACTAATGACATTCAGACTTGACAGGCGCCAAAGTCCCACTAAAGCAAGTTCAGCTCTGTAGGTCACTCCCCACACAACAGCTCCTCCATGGTAGTCACAGCTAGCCTTAAAACTAATCAGCTTGAGGGCCAATTTCTACAAACAACAATCAAGGTTCAACTATAATAGGAGGGCACATAAAGCCCACACATGAGAAATACCTGGAGCACCTGGCTTGGATGATCAGGGAGCCTGCACGATTAGGCCCCATAAGACACCTACTACATAGGGCCACTGTACCAAGACTGTGAGATGTAACAGTTCTACCCAATATATAGAAACAAGCACAGGGAGGCAGACAAAATTGGGATCCAAAAACACATGTCCCCCAGTGGAAACAAAAAAACACACAAACAAACAAAAAACAGGAGATATCTTCTGAAAAACAAAGCAAAACAAAACAAAAAAACCTTAAATGAAATGGAGGCAAACAAAATACATCTGATAGCATTCAAAACAATGGTTATAAGAATGTTCAAGAAACTTAGTGAGAACTTCAAAGGCACAAAAAAGACATAAAAACCATAAAAAAAGAACTAGTCAGAAATGAAGAATATAGTAACTGAAATGAAGAACACATTAGAGGGAATCAGCAGTGGATCAGAGGAAGCATAGGATCAAATCAGCGATTTGGTAGATAAGGTGGCAGAAAACATCAAATCAGATCAGAACAACAACAAAAACAGGATAGTTAAGGGGCTTCTGGGACAATATCAAGCATACCAACATTCACATCATAGGAGT